TTCAAAAATATGGGTAATAAACTGGAAATAAAGAAGTCAAAACAATAACAAATTATTTCTGAGAGGAAGTGATTTCTACTGTCTTCTTGGGCTTCTCTAGATTTTTCCAACTGCATATTCTACAATAAATGTTTGTGTATCTTTTATAATCACATATAACACAAATAGATGCACTGTTGTGAATGCACTTAATGCCACTGAATGGCATGCTTTGAAAGTGGTTACAATGGTATGTTTTGTGTTATATATATTATACCACAATAAAAAATATGTTTTTTAAAAAAGACAATTTGTACTAAAACATTACTTGCTTGGGATTTTTGAGGTTGATATTGTCCTAATTTGTCACCAGCTTCCACCATCCACCCCATTGCATCAACCAGGGGAGAGACACCAAATTTAGGAACTGAAAGGAAGTGGTCAAAAGGTACCGGATATGGGTTTAAATGTTTCTGGGTACAATTGAAGAAGCTAAACACTTGACCTCAGGGTGTGGGTGGTGCCCGACACTGGCTCCCTCAAATCTGATTCTATAACAGGAGTTTTTGTTTTGTTTTTAAAAGAATTCGCTCAGAATGTATTCTGATTCAAATTGAGGCCAGGTTAAAGCTGACCCTCATTTTATCTACAAAGTGAAGATTGCTGAATGTGATCGTATAAACATGATTGCAGGAGAAAGAACCAAAAGTCTTTAGAGGATAAACTGTTTTCAAGAACACAAAGAAACCACATCACTTTGACACTCATTGCAAATAAGATACATTATATCTGTATGGTGGTTTTAACCTTCTAAAGTATATTCATGGTTTTTATTTATTGTACTACCAAGCAAGTCATGTGGAAGTGGCTTTTCTTTTAAGATAAAAGATGCCAGAGCCCATCTGAATGCTGCTTGGAATTGTCCAGGAGCTAGTGGAGGATTGTTGGTGCCAGTGTAGGGCTGTCTGTGGTGTGAAGCCCTCAAGAAGATAGAGGGGGGCAGGTTGGAGGGGAAAGATGGGTGCAGCTCCTCTATGGTCTCATAAAGAGAGGAGGAGTAGGTAGGAGCACCAGCCAGGAAGACTGGGGTGACGTTATTAAAGGGATATTATCAAGGTAGGTACTGCCAGTGGAAACTGAGGCTCAGTCCCACTAGGAAATCTGGGAGAGAGTGCAGAACAGGAACCTAGGAGTTATCTTACCCCAGGGTTGAGGGAGCTGGGGTATTTACACACCAACTCCTGTCAGTAATTGGTTCAGGGATCCTCTAGGTAGCAACAATCCCCAGGTAATGGCAGCAGAGCACCTTTCAGCAGCGGGGAGGCTCTTGGGGGCAGAGTGCAGGTGCTCTGTCCCAAGATAGTTGGCTGATAGAGTGGCTGTGCTCAATAGGTGTCAGTGATTGTTTTTTAAGGAGCTGATCTCTTGATCTTTTTGTAAAGATCCTCCTCTGAGGTGGCTCAGAGCTTTCCCCCTGCAGACACTGGTTCCTGGGTCATGGAAAAGACCTAGCTGAGGGCTAGCACAAAGCCCCATGGCCAGGCAGGCACCCAGAGGGTCCCCAGTGCCCTAGTCTGGCTAGACAGAGCCAGGGCCCTATGGCTGAATAAGGAAGAACCGAGGATTTGGAGTCAGGCAGACCTGGGTGGTGGGGGGGTAGGGTGGGTCTCCCAGCTCTTCTGTCTTATAGGCGTAGGACCCTGCAAATGAGATTTCGCTTTCTTGAACTCTAGTTTCCTCAACTGCAAAGTGATAATATATCACAGGATTGTTGTGTCACTTACCTATTGTGGTGTTGCAAACCATTCCAAAATTGACTGGCTTAAAACCACAGCTATCTATTTCTCTCATGAGCCTGTGGATTGGCAAATGGGGCTGGGTTCAGCCAGGTGGTTCTTCTGCCAGGCTTGGTTGGGTTCTTTCAGGTATCTGTGGTTGGTCAGTTGGTGGTCAGTGGCCTCACTCACTGGTTGGGGATTTGGCTAGCTGTTGACTGGAGTAACTGGGGTAACTGGTCCATGGGTCTCTCATCATCCTACAGCCTAGGCTGGGCTTGTTCACCTGGCTGCAGTCTTGTGATTTCTAAGAGCCATGAGACAGCACATCCAATGCCCTAGCAATTTTCAAGCCTCTGCTTATGTCAAATTTGTTACTGCCCCATGGCGGCCAAAGCAAGTCATGACCAGATTCAAGACGTAGAGAAATTGATGGGAAAGGGAGAAATTGGCCTGAGACGATATAAGTAAAGCTCCTATTAGCCTTGTGAGTGTTTTATAAATGTATTGACAATGATTACATGCCTCTCTTCCAGTTTTTTTAAGCAATAAAAAGGTAGGTGTTTTAATTACTAATAATCATTAAATCAATTGGTATTAATTTTTGTGCAGGGTTCCGTCTCTATTTCCTCCTCTAGTCAGGAAGATAATTGCTCTATCAGACAGTGATGTAGTGAGGGAAGAGTGAGGGAATGACAGTAAAGTATTTGCACAGAGCCTGGTGAGAGGGACTCTGTTTATTATGGTATAAAATTTACGTCTCCTCCCTGCACACAAAAAGGCAACGCAAATTTGATCGCTTTTTCATTTTCGGTTTTTTTGACTCACATCTCACTTTTCAAAAAACTCTAGGCTCAGAGCTGTTTGTGGAGACTTTCCTCCAGGCTATCCTTTCTTCTCGCTCCCTAAAGGTACCTCCTCCCTTTATGTTTCATCCTCCACCTTCTGCCTCAGCCAAGGGGCTGCTCCTGGCTGAAGCCACAGCTTCAGGGGGATCTAAAAGGCACCTTAGGACCACAAGACCCTTTCCAGTAAGGATTACAAAGATGGGAAGTGCTGGCTGCCTCTCTCTGTGGCCTTTAAGTATTTGCAGCTCAGACACAGCCCAGCATACTCCCAGTTCCCCCAAGTGGTGATTCCTCCCAATCTGTGAAAGAAGGGAGCCCCCTCCATTTCGCACCTTCTCAGGGTTCCCAGGGGCCTCTGAGCAGCTTCTGAAGCTCTGTAGCCCCGATTGACACCCCCTGGAAATTGCTTAATGGTTTCAGCCTGAGGAAACTCAAATCAGCCAGTCAGTCAATCCTGAACTACCCTGGAAGAGCAGAGTAGCGGCTCACAGTCTCAAAACCTGGATGGTCTAAAATATGAGTAACTTTTCTGTTAAGCATCCCCTGCCCCAGACCTTCTGAGACACGAAGAGGCTGCTGCAGCTTAATTCTCCACCTTCCTCCTCCAGGGCCAGGACAAAAGAGAGCAGGAGCTGGTGGGGGAGGTAAAAGAAAACCTCCTCTGAGCCGGCTTAGGGCAGCCCCGCTGCAGGAGACGACTGTTCTTCCAAGACCTACTTTAACAAATGTTTAGTTTTATTTTACTTTTATTTTTATGTATTTTTTGAGACAGGGTCTCACTCTGCCACCCAGGCTCAAGCGCAGTGGCATGATCTCAGCTCAAGGCAACCTCTGCTTCCCAGGCTCAAGCAATCCTCCCACCTCAGCCTCCCAAGAAGTTGGGACCACAGACACACACCATCATGCCTGGCTAATTTTTGTATCTTTTGTAGAGATGGGATTTTGCCACATTGCCTGGGCTAGTCTTCAACTCCTGGGCTCAAGCAATCCTCCTACCTGGGCCTCCTAAAGTGCTGGGATTACAGGCATGGACTGCAAGTAGTACAAGATGTACTTTAGAGCAGTTCCTGGACCGGGAGCTTTCCCTGTATTATTTTGTTAGTTCTCACAATATCCTCTTGAGGCTGGCATGGCAAGCCCATTTTACAGATATAGGTATTGAGGATCAGAGAATTTAAGAAAATGTCCTTTACGTTCAAAGTTCAAAGATGGAGCACAGTTGATTGGTGTGGGTGGAGACAGGGATGGAGGCAAGGCTGATACTGGGTCCTGGCCTCCACTGCCTCAGAGGAGTGGAGAGAGTATAGCATGCAAGGCAGTAAGGCTGGATTCAAGCACTTTTTTTTTTTTTTTTTTTTTAGACAGAGTCTCACTTTGTCACCCAAGCTGGAGTGCAGTAGCTCGACCTTGGTTCACTACAACCTCCGCCTCCCGGGTTCAAGTGATTCTCTTGCCTCAGTCTCTTGAGTAGCTGGGATTACAGGCGTGTACCACCATGCCCAACTAATTTTTGTATTTTTAGTAGAGACGGGGTTTCACCATATTGGTCAGGCTGGTCTTGAACTCCTGACCTCAAGTGATGCTCCTACCTCAATTCCCAAATTGTTGGGATTACAGACATAAGCCACTCTGCCTGGCCTTGGATTCAGGCACTTTTAACGAAAAGGGAAGGTCTTTGGATTTTGCCATGAAGGCAAATTTCGTTAAACTCTTTGAGCCTCAGCTTTCTCACCCGTAAAATAGGGTTGTTGTGAGGATCAGTGACGAGATGCATATAAAAGCATGCAGAGGAGAGCAGAGGCCCAGTGAACGTGGTGCCGCTGGATGGCCCCTCCAGCCAGCCTTGCCTCTTTCCCCATGCGCTTCCAAGGACAGCTCTGTCCTATAGTCACAGAGGGGACAGACCCCAGCCCTAGGCAAATGCTGTGGCTTCTATGATTGTTTCAACAACTCTACTATTGCAAATGGGACCTAGACTGGCATTCTCTTGTAAATATTGATGAAGGCCCCAGATAGGGAGGAATAAGAAAACAAAGGACATTTTATTTATGATAGAAAAAGAACCCAACAGAAAACAAAAATCTACAGGCAGGCCCAACAGGAGGGGAGATGTTTAAATAAACCTTGGTACGTTCACTCCATGGAATATTGTGCAACTATTGAAATGATGTTTACCCAGAATTTGTAATAACACGGGAAAATGCTTATTATAAAATGCTAAGTGAAAAAAGGAAGAAACTGAATTGTATATTTAGCATAATCACACCTAGGCAAAAATCAAGCCAAACAAAAACTTGGCACAGAAGGACCAGAGGGACACACAGCACAGTAGGGGGTGTCTTTGAGTGGCAAAATTGGGGAGATTTTTAATACCTTTCTCTATTTTTTTTTTTTTTTCCTGTAATGGGCATGGTTGGTTTAAAGTGGAAAGCGACCCAAATTTAATTTTTTTTGTTTGTTTTTCTGTAGAAGAAAGAATTCCTATTGGAAAAGCAAGAAGCCGAGTGACACAGATGTCACTCTGAGGCTAAGGGCAGGAGGCCAACAGACCCCAGGTTATTAAGTAAAGTCAAGTAGAAATCTGAGACTCTGGCCCCATGAAGTCATCTCAGCTGCACACCTGAGTATAGGGTCTGCAACATTTTGGTAAGGACGCTGGCTCTCGCTCCTATGTGTTGTAAATGTAGGTGTAATTGAGATTTTTTCCCTTACACCAAAGGCTAAACCAGAATAGCTGGGCCCCTGTCCTTCTTTCTACCCCAAGATGGTGCTCCTTGGAAGCAGCCGTGCTCTCCCTGGTGGGCACAGCAAAGTCCTTCTGGCAGCAAGGCCACCGTTCTCATTCCCAGAGCCAGTTCTGGTCTATGCATCTCCCAGATTTCCATTCAGGTCCCTGTTCAAATGTCATTATAAGGGAGGCCTGATTACATGATTTAAAAGAGCAACCCCTTTCCTCCGGCACTCATCATCCCATGTCCCTGCCTTGGTTTTCTCCTTAGTGTATATGCAGCCTAGGTACTAGGTTCAATGTATTTCTTTTTAAAAGTGTCCATTTTCCTTTGCTAGAATGTGAGCTCCATTAAGGCAGGGATCTGCTGCATCTCCAGCACCTAGAACACTGCCCAGCCCAAATATTCTGTAAATGTTTATTTCAGGAGCGAAAAAACATATCCTGACCATTTTTTTTTTTGTTGGTGTGTGTACATATTTAGTTTTATTGTAACAAAGTAACTTGTATACTTTTAATGTTTAAAACTGAGCATCATCTTTCCTTTCCAGTGAAACAAAAAGAAAACTTAAAAATAAACAGGAACAAAATTACAATAGAGAATGTCAAGTCCAAATAAGATGCTACAGGTTCTGCTGATGCTCCCATTGAGTGGCAGGACTCAAGCCATCATTAGGAGAATTTATTTTTAAAGTGTCATCTTATACTGCAAGGACCATTGTGCCCTCAGGGGGTCTTTCCAAGGTCTTGAGCTACCTTGTTCCACCCTGATGGCCCCGACCACATTCTTCCTGAAGCCCAGCTCTACAGCCCCAGGCCAGCACATCTGCTCTAATCCACAGGTAGTGACAGCCTGGGACACTGTGTTGCAACACTTATGAAGCCATTGTGAGGGCTTGCCAGGAGAAGATATGGTGACTGATGAATGATTTTGCCAATGGAACCAAAAGAGAGGTGGATCAGATGGACTGTGTACTTCTCTTCCCAGCCCAGGCCCAAATCTCAGCTCCCCCTCTCATTACGAAGACCACACCCACCACGGGTTGGGGCCTGGAACACATTTGTCCGTCTTATCCCTGGAATCACTCCCCTAGTCTCTAACACAGGTATGCAATGGGCTTCAGAATGTTTTTCCAGAGTGGTCCTTGTTCCTCCTGGGCTTGGAACCTTTCCAGAACTTTACCTAGCTTGGGTGTTGCCTCGTCCTCTGCCTGGCCCTTCACTAGGGGTTGAAGGTTAGATCTGGGTCCACCTTCCCCCAGCTCCTATGTAGGGTTCTCCTCTCAAGCAAGTCCTTCCCCCAGTCCAGCAGCACAATGCTAGTGCCTCCTTTGAGTCTTGTCACTGAAGCCATTCTCCCCCAGCCCACAGGTCCCTTGGAGGTTCATGGCTAGTGTTGACACTGAGCTTGAATGTGACTTTGCCTGCGGACGGGGGTCACTCTCCCCAGAAGGCAGCCATGGCCCCAGCTGACTTTCCCTTCCTGGTCTCTGATTTAGGAATAAACTCAGCTGCTTCATCTTTCAAGGCCCAGGCCAGGGAAGTGGGGCAGGGGCGTGGGCAATGGCACCCTGTGGCCTCTGAGCTGCCATTGGCAGAGCCTGGCGCCCGAGCCCAGACTAGGGATGGTGGCCTTTGGTGGTCCAGTGCAAGCTCTCCTCTTATGTCCATGCCAACCTCTTTTTCATCTTTTGTTCCAGTCCTGCTTCTTCCAACAAGACCCACGGCCTGGACCCCAACAGCATCAGTGGACACAGGCTCTAGTTGGCAACACCTGGGAAACTGGGAGGAGCTTTCTCTTGGGGGCTCTCATTTATCCCCAGGGCAGATAGGGACATGAATTGTCCTTCTCACTTTCAAGACAAGGACACTGAGGTCCAAAGCATCCTTATTTTCTTCCTTGTCAGGCTCTGCTCTGGTGTACCTCCCATCTCCCCTGGCTTCTGGCTGGGACCAAGAGCATCACTGCCTTCCCATCTTTCACTGTCTCCCTCAGAGGTGGAAAAAGGGCTGTGGCAATACACTGGGTCAGGCTCTCTCCCTTCCCTCCTGGAAGGACAGGTGCCTTCCTGAGGCTGGGGGTCTCCTTCATTCAGAGTTTATCAAACCCGATGTGAAAGGAGATCCAGTCTCTGGATGCTTCACTAGAATCTTCTAGTTCCTCGACTTGGTCATGGACCTGAAAATGTGAATGAGGCAAACCAGGTGACCGCACCTGGCACAAGGAGGGCAATTATGCTGTCCCTCTGAAGTGCTGACTGGTGGTGGCTGCCCCAGTCTACAGATCTGGGAATGAGTGCAACAGTCAGTTAACATGGGCAAGGCCGAGGAGCAGGGTGGCGCTTGGATCACATAGTTTCTTCCCTTTGCTGAGACCTCCGTGCATCCTCAGCAGACCTTAACCAGAAGACAGCTTGGTACAATGGGTGCTTCTCTTTCTTCCAATAAGGAGAAAAGTAAGGTGGGCTTTGGTACATTTTCTGGCAAGCAAGAATCTCCTAGGCTGGCCCCAGCTTCAGCTGTTCTGCTTTTCAAACCATCACTCCCTCTGGCCAGGCTCCCTGGGGCTCCCTGGGCTCCTTCCTAGTCCTGTCCAAGTCACCTGCCTCCATCTTTCCCACCTGTGTGTCCCCGTGCTTCTGGGAACTGTGGAGGTGGGGCCCAGTGGCTGATGTTTACCAACGGGCACTGATGACTCAGAGAGCCAACCCCTCTCCAGGGCAACCAGGGAGGGGCTGCTGGGGTCAACTGGCTCCTAGAATTGTGATTGCAATAAGGCTATGCCCCCTATGCTTTGGTGGGGTCCTGGTGTATCCCCCCAAGAATTCAGAGTTGAAGCCAGGGCGGTCATCCCTGAAGACATGAATGCCTTCTGCCTTGAAACACAAGCTCCTGGTCCTCTTTTCTGCAGTGGGGCCTCTGCAGCCCAGGGAGGGTAAGACTCATCTGAGATCCCTCTCTCCCCAGCCAGGGGAGGAGAAAGGACTGGAATTCACCTCTTGATGGCCACATTCCTGGGTTGCCTGGTGATTGCCTAGAAATGGCCTACAGAGATGGCTGGCGGTGGAGCCCTGTGGCCCCCAGCTTTGCATGAGGAGCTCAGTTGAGGGACTGCTAGACCCTGGTCTGAGGCAAATCGGGGGTGGGCAAGGTCAGGACAGTGGGCAGGAGGGTGCCCTGCGGGGCCGGGAAGCTCTGTAGCTCCTTGGGCACAAACCTGGGTGAGACAGAGTCTGCTAGGAAGCAGAGGGTGCTCCGGCGTCCCACGCAGTAGATGAGGTTGTCCACCACCGTGCACAGGAAGGCATCCGGGTAAGGCGTCCGGTACGTGGCACACTCGTACCAGAGCCGGGTGCTGGCGCTGCAGCGGTACACGGCGATACCCAAGCTGCGGTTGAGGTCAAAGCGGTAGAGAAAGCCATTGACCGCCACCATCTCGGCCGTGCGGTCCTTGCTGCCCCCGGTGGGGCAGGCCCACCATCGCTGCTCCTGCGCCGAGAAGCGGAGCAGCAGGAAGCGCAGCGAGCCGCCGGTGACGAAGATCTCCTTGGCACACGCCGTGGCCGTGTGCGCCAGGGCGAACGTGTCACTGGGGAGCGGCGGGACAAAGTCCCAGCGGTCCAGGCGGGGGTCATAACGCTCCACCGAGTTCAGACACTCTCCGCCGATGGCGTACAGGTGCCCGTCCAGGGCCACCAACCGGCAGTGCGGCCGGGCCTGGTTCAGCGGGCACACCTCGCTCCAGATCCCCGTAAGCGGGTTGTAGCAGAAGACGCGGCTGGAGGGCTGGTGCCCGGGGCCCTGGCAGCCGGACACCACGAAGAGATAATTGAAAAGATTGCAGATGGCACAGCCCCGGGACACGGCCTCGAGGGGCAGGCGAGCCAGCGGACGCCAGACATCCTGCTCATCGTCATAGCAACAGAGGCCGCCCGAGTCTTCCTTGGGGCACACGTCAGCCACCACCAGGTACTGGCGGCCCTGGAGCCGGCGCTGCAAGATCAGCTCGCGCTCTGCCCCGCTCAGGCACCCGTAGATGTCCGGGCTGCGCAGCACCTGGAGGTAGTTTTCGCTCATCACCTTGTAGGCCGCCTCTTTCAGGGACTCCAGGTTGTGCCTCTTGGCCAAGGTCAGCACCTCATAGCAATTGCCCAGATCCAGGCGGACCTGTGGGGCTGAAGCAGGGGTGAGCGGTACATGGAAGAAATTAGTCCCGGCCACCAGGTGCACATGGGGCTCCCGGCTGCTTCTGTCTGAGTCCGGCAGGGCGCCTGAGTCTGGGCAGGGTGGAGCGGGGAGCCGGAAGCCATCTGGCTGCAGCTGCAACTCTGGGTTTTCCGCTATCTGCAGGAGGCTCTCCTTCCGGCTAAAACCTCGGTTGGAGGGCGACGGCCCTGGCTGTGGGGAGGCGGCTCTTTCGGCTGCACCCTTTGTGTCACCGGCTTGGCCTCCCGAGGCTGCCCCTGTTCCCAGGGACCCTGGCGGTGGCCTAGGAGATGGAACCTCAGTCAGGGCTGCTGTCCTGGGAGCCAGCCTGCCCTGGAAGATGGCCTGAGACGTAGATTCCACGTAGTAATCGTACACCTTGCCTTTGAGCCTGGGCTCAACCCCCTCCACCTTCTGTATGAAATTCTCCTCCATTCGGACCCGGGCTATGGACGAGAAGGTATAGGAGGCGTTGGGGGCTCCCTCCTGCTGATGCAGGGTCAGGCCAACATCGGAGGCAGCCTGGAGAGCCCCAGGCTCTTCTCTGCTGACCCCTATCACACGGGTGAAGACCCAGCTCTGGTTCATGTCTCTGCTGCCTTGCAAGGGAGCCACATGGTGACAGTGGGGAGGTTCCAGTTGCCCCAGCCCTGGAGGCTCAGGGCGTTTGCCGTCCTGCCATGGAGCAGGCTCACCACCGGCACAGGTGCCGTCGGCTGCTGCCATGAGTCCAGCTGGGGTGCTGTGCGGTTCACTGCCCAAGCGGGGGAGATGGGGAGGGTCAGGGTTACCGCCAACAGCTGTTCTGGCTTCCTGGCCGCGGCAGCTAGGAGGCACCTGCTCAGAGTCCCAGCCCTGCCCGCCCAGCTCCTCACCTGAGCCTTTTCTCTGGGGCTTCCTGTCTGTGGAAGTGGCCCCCGTGACCAGGACACAGGGGCCTCTTGGATTCTCCCAGCTGCAGCCCTGTGGTGCTTCAGACCCCTTGCTGCTCCTCCGGCGTCTTGCACCCCTCTGCAGAGCCCCGGGAGAAGCCTCCTGTGCAGCAGGCTGCCCTGAGCCCTCTGCTTCCTCCTTGGCTTCCGCCTGGGCATTCCCACCCCGCCTCTGGGCTGGGGCAGGCCTTGACTTGTACAGCCTGTAGGCCACAGTCACCAGGAGTAGGGCAGCAGCCGACAGCACCACCTTGCCCGTCAGCTGCATGTCCGAATGCCAGTCCTGGGCCTCTGCTCCTCTGGGGAACATGCTTCTCCAGCCAACCTGGGGCTGAGGAATGCCAAGAATCTGATTAATAATTGCCCAGTAGGGACCAGTTCCTGGGTCCTGCCAAGCGGAGGGGAGGGAGTTCTGAGCTGGCTTTGGCTGGCCAGCCGAGGAGAGGAGTCAGAGCAAAGGTGACTTTGAGCTGCAGTGGGTGGCCGCTGGGGCCCGGAGCTGGCAGATGCCAGTGGCTGGCCTCTTCTGATGCTTCCCTGGTGGCGGGGGTGGGGGGCCTGCCCAGGGGCTGAGCTTGTGATCGGCCAGCTGAGCCAGCTCTGTGGCCAGCAGCTAGGGGATGTTAAGAGTATCCAGTGGGCATACAAAGAAGGAGGAAGCTCTTAACCAAACAGTCACCCGATGCCAGGAAATGCGCGGGGTTGGTTATTCTTTACGTGTGTGCTTTATTTTCTCTTTTGCAAATCCACTGGGCTTGCAGGCTTGGGTGTGTTGACTCATGGGCAGGTGGAGCCCCAGTAGGCGTGGATGGGGTCATTCTTGTGAGGTCTGCTGGTCCTCGCAGTGGGTTCAGCTTTATGCTGGCCAAGCTGGGGACAGGAACGTGGTGGTGGAGTCTGGAGCCAGGGCATGCAGCCAAGCCACCTGACCCAGCCCTTGAGTGCCTCTACCCTCCTTCCCTGCCTGACAAGTTTATTAAGAGAAAACAGCCTTTCTGAGAACAGTGGGGAAAGACGTTGCATTAGTGCTCAGATCAGGGTTAGATGTGGACGCAGCTTCTCTTTTAAAACCAGACAATCTCCTATGGTGAAAGACTGAGGGAAGACTCACATCTCCCAGACCCCCCTCACCATCTTCCCTCCCCCATCACCAGTGCTGTGGGTCCTGGACCCAGACTACCTGGCTCTGCTACTTACCAACTATATGACCTTAGGCAAGAGATCTCACCACTCTTTGCTTCATCTGAAAAAGGAGGATGACAGCATACGTACCTCATCAGGTTGTGGTGAGAACTAAATGGGCTACTAGGAATAAACACTGGGGCAGAGCCCCCCATCATGAAAGCTTACTAAATATGAACTATTCTCCCCTTCTCCCTCCTCTTCCTCTTTCTTATCATTGGCACCAACATCGCTAGTATCAAGTGTCATCAGAGGACCTTCCGAAGCACAGAACTAATTCTGCCCTTTTCCTCACCAAGGTCCTCAAAGAGTCCCCAAGATCCTGTGCAGGGGTCTCAAACTCTTGCTGCCTATGGGGGCTGGGCAGGTAAAGTGAACAAGTGAGGACTCCTGTCCGCCCCACCCCAGCCAATGGTATCAGGCCAGGTGGCACAGCATTGCCTCATCCTCCCACTGTTTCAGGGAAGCTTAGAATCCTGGTAGTGACATCATCACTTTCAATTTTAAAATGTTGGCATCTGATTCAAAAATGAAATTGAAAACCACTCTGTGGGCCACAGGAAGCACACACACGGAAGGAATTTGGCTTTGAAGGCTGTGACTCTAGGAGACAATCCTGACTCCCTATGCCAATGTTCACAACCCTCGATGTACCAGCTTCGGTTTACTCTTCCAAATTCATCTCCTGATCACTGCCTAGCAAACCGGGCTTAGGGTGACTTCTTGGCAGGGAAGGCTGGTGGACATCCCTCTGTCCCATCAGAGTTGGGTGAAAGGCTGTGTCTGGGTCTTCTTTCCTGGTGCCTTCATCCATCCAAGATCACCTTTTCTTCCTTTGGGTTTCGTGTTCTCTGATACTCCTCTTTTAGGCTTGGCCACAGCTGCCTTATCATAAAGTGCATTGTGTGCAAGATTTGGTCTCCTGCTGCATTCCAAGTCCTTGAGGACAGGCTGTAGCTGGCTCAGCTGTGGACCCTAAACCTATGTGGGGCTCTGCATGATTTGGGACAGTAGCCAGCAGGGATTATCTTTACACTGAGTGGATTGGGGTGGACACTCAGGATGAAGCTCATTTCATCTCATCTCATGCTCACAGCTGCTTTGGGGAGAGACACGATTGTTATCCCCATTTGACAGCAGAGGTAACTGGACCTCCAAGATTATGTCAACTGGCTTGTAAATGGGGACTCAAAGCCTTGTTTGCAGAGTCCAGAGTTTTACAGACCTGACTTCATCCAGCAGATGTGACCTCTTAGGAAGTCAGGTGTCCTCAGCCTGTCCCACTGGTGACTGTCAAGAGGGGTCCCCTGAATTCCCTTTCTTTCCATCCTGGTCAAAAGAGTGCCTATCAATGCAATGTGCACAAGGATCAGGAGGGGTGCTTGTTAGAGATGCAGCTTTCCTTCCTCCCTCCCTTCCTCCCTTCCTTCCTCCCTTCCTCCCTTCCTTCCTTCCTTCCTTCCTTCTTACCTTCCTTCCCTCCTTTTTAACTTACTCTCTCTCTCCCCCTTTCTCCCTTTCTTTCTTTTTCTCTTTCTTTTCAGAGACAGAGTGTCACCCAGGCTGGAGTGCAATGGCACCATCTTGGCTTACTGCAACCTCTGCCTCCAGGGTTCAAATGATTCTCCTGCCTCAGCCTCCCGTGTAGGTGGGATTACAGGCATGCACTACCACTCCCAGCTAATTTTTGTATTTTTAGTAGAGACGGGATTTCACCATGTTGACCAGGCTGTTTGTTGTTGTTGTTGTTGTTGTTTGTTATTTTTGTTTTTTGGGTTTTTGTGGTTTTTTTTTTTTGAGACAAAGTCTCACTCTGTCGCCTAGGCTAGAGTGCAGTGGCACGATCTTGGCTTGTTGTAGCTTCTGCCTCCCAGTTCAAGCACTTCTCCTGTCTCAGCCTCCCGAGTAGCTGGGACTGCAGGTGCATACCACACCTGGCTAATTTTTGTATTTTCAGCAGAGATGGGGTTTCACCATGTTAGTTAGGCTGGTTTCGAACTCCTGACCTCAGGTTATCCACCCGCCTTGGCGTCCCAAAGTGCTGGGATTACAGATGTCAGCCACCACGCCAAGCCAGGGATGCAAATTTCTAAGCTCTACCTTCTAGATGTCCTGATTCAGTGGGCTGGGTGGGTCCCAGGAAACCTCCATTTTTAACAATCATCTCGGGAGCTTTCAGTGAGTCTAGGAATTAAAAATAAGTTAGCTTTTCTACTTGTCTGCTGAAAATTCCTGTTCATTCTTGGGTGGTGGGTGAGCAATTCCTTTCAAGTTACATAATCAGTTCCTCTTGGTTACATACTCAAGGTGGGTAACAGAATGGGAATGAAGTCCCGGGTGCTTTGTATAAGTAAAAGTATTTAATTTTCCCAGTAATCTGGAGAGGTAGTTATTATCATTGCCCCCATTTTACAGATCAGGAAATTGAGGCTAAGAGAGACAATGCCAATGGACTGAGAGTGACAAATCCTGATTTATAATGTTTCTTGCTGCACAGCCCATTGTCTTCATCTAGAACCTAGAGAATGAGGTATGTGGGGCAATACAAATGATTTTTCCAGGGGTGAAAAATGCTTTGTTGAGGCTGATGAGGGGCCAGGGTACCATTCCATTGGTAGGGGTATGAAGCTCATCCCATCTCATGCTCACAGCCCATTTGGGGAGAGACATGATTGTTATCTCCATCTGACAGCAGGGGTAACTGGACCTCCAAGATTATGTCAACTGGCTTGTAAATGGGGCCTCAAAACCTTGTTTGCAGAGTCCAGAGTTTTACAGGCCTGACTTCATCTAGCAGATGTGACCTCTTAGGAAGTCAGGTGTCCTCAGCCTGTCCCACTGGTGGCTGTCATATGTCATATGTCTTCATCCTTGGAGAAGGGGAGACATATGAAATGCCCCCTTGGTGAGATGTGACCTCGCATTGTCCTCTCAGATGCCACCAAGTTAGAAGCCTCTCAGCCCCTCTGACTGCTGCTTCCCACCTGATAAATGCTCGGTTGTTTCCCAGAGCCCTCTCTCTGTGGCTTCAGCTGAAACTCTTCAAGTCAAACAATCAGCATTTCCATTTGAAAAGCTCCTAGGCACTGGATGTGCCCGAACCAGCCTTGGGGTGTGGGGAGGTAGGAGGACCACTGGGAGCAGAAGACAGTCCAAGCCCCAGGGGAACTTAGTATGTCCCTGGTCCAGAAGACAGGGCATAAGCCTGACATACGATCAAGCTACCATACATCACAAAGGAGAGATGAATGAGGTGGTTTATCAGAAGAGAGGTCAGGAAAAAGGATTCCAGAAAGAAGTGTTTGGAATTGGGTATTGATAAAGAAAGGAAGAGGCACAGACTGATTGATTTACTGATTCAAAAAACATTTACAAGATGCCTACCATGTACCAGGCCATGTGTTGGGATGTCATAGGTTAAGGAGACCGCCTTGGCTCCTGTGCCCATGAAGACTGTGGTCTAGGAGACACCAGGCGGGGAGATGGTGGGGGTGCGGATGCTGGTTTGAGGAAGCTTCCATGGGAGTTTGGAACAGGAGTCCCCGCACCAGGCTAGGATGAGACGGTGTGGAGATGGCATTTGATGTGTTGGGAATGGAGGAAATAGACAGGGAAATGTGAGAACAACAAAGCCTGGAGACCTCCAGGTTGGAGCTTGGGCCTGGGTGCAGGGTGAGGGGCGGGGCCAGATGTCCCCGATTTGATCCCTGGCTTGGCACTTCCTGCGACCTTCCCTTGTTTGAGGGCAGAAGTAATGCCTGTGAAAGAGCTGAGCATAGAAGATGCCTTCATTAAATGAGGCTTCCTGCTGTCTGCCCTGCATTCTAGTTCTCGGTGAACACAGCCATCTGACAGTGTGTAAAAATGTAGGTTGCATTATTATTCAGGTCTGGTGAGGCCCACAGATCAGGAGGTGACTGCCACTGAAAGGTGGTTTTTTTACTCACTGGTCCCAAGAGAAGGGGGCACACGGCACCAGGCAGGACCACGTTGGGAAGCACTGGGTCAATCAAGGCAAGAGGGAGTGAGGCAGAAGCGTGGGTGAGTGAGGCTTTATGATGGTTTTTGCAGGAAGGAGAGACAGAGGCAGGGTAAGCAGGATTCAGATTGGCTAGTTGGAATAATTTCAGCAGGCTTAGGGCTGGCTGTCTTT